ACATTGGATGGTCAGTGATTGTGACGCAAATTACCAGCTAAAATAATGATGCAGACGTCCAGGACCAGCAGCATCAGCTGCACATCGGCATTTGGTTGTATATTTACTGGTGCACAGAAGAACTGGAGCGTCATAAAAAAAGAAGCAGATCCCATCATAGCGAAACGTGACAAACTGGGCTACCTGTTACTACGGCGGGGTGGCCTTTGCATGCCAGCGACACCACCGTATCTTGATTTACTGTAAAAGCTAAATTACAAGTCCTTCTCTGTATTGCATCCCCTTGTTTTTGAACCCCCCTTAAAGACATTACCACCTTCTGAAAGCCCTTCTATTAGAGCCTCCGTACTGATTTTGGTTGCGTGAGGCCTGTCGTTCTAGAATTCTGACCTGATAAACATCAATCTTTGCACTCTGGCCTTTACCATGCGTCGCAGATTTACCGTGGGTACGATGGAGTATTGGCATCAGCTCGCAAGTTAAAGATCGGACGTGTATCCGTCAGACATCGAATTCGACGCCTTTAGATTTCGAGTTGTTGGCTAAGTAAAGCGGTATAACATGTCTCAGTACATCTTTGCGGTGCCTAGTTTGTATGCCGTACCATATCTGAAATGTATCACTGTTGGGAATATCACAGTGGACCCCTATCACTGTTGGGAATATCACGGCTGAGAGAATTGCTACGGCAGGCAATTATGTCGTTTCCCACAAGTACGATTCAGTAGTTTGGCTCTCAAATATCTTGAAATATTTTTTTGTAAGTGAGCGAAGGCAAATTTGCACAGTATATGTCATCAATCAACCAATAACAGCAGCCAAAAGTATATGTAAAGCTAATGTAAGCGCTGCGTAATAGCGAGCTAGCTCCTGGGACTAACAAAAGTCGCAGTTTGATGTGTATTACTACTTAGTAGTAGCTCCTTACTATATTTTTATTAATATAGTACTTAAGCATGCAAAAAGCAGAGTCAGGAGCTGGCCTGGGGTAACCCTGCAATGTACAATGTTCGAGACGGCAGTACATCATTCTAGAACCTTTATACTGGCTTCCACTAGCTGCACGGTAGTAGAATACAAAAATGTGTAGGAGGGTGAACTTTTAAGTAAGTACCGAGCACTATGCGCCAGTCGGGCAATCGATGAGGTAGGTGTAACTCCACCAAATAAGTTGGAGCCGCCACCAAAATAAAGGGAGAATGCACACGAATGGTGGACAGCTATCACTCACAAAATAAAAGTGGAGTGTCCACACATATAGGAAGCAGTAACACTTAGCACAAAGCTAATAAACACTCCATGTCAGTGCTTTTGTTCGAATCATTAGCATAGGTGAAATGATTCGAGCACTAAGTTGTAGCGATCATGTTGTAGTTGCAGCAACAACAAGTCGCTGTCAACGACGCCTCACTTTCCCTTGCAGCGTGCCATGGCACTACATTTCGGCTTGAATCCGAGCAGAGACCCCACTCTACGAGGTTGTGGCTGGGACGGTGGAGTCCACGTGCCCCTTAGCCATTAAGCTATCTTTGCAGTGTCATTCTCCAACTTGAGCCCAAGAGCTCCAGCACCACACTCCGTCCAGAGCAGCGGCACCCAAGACCGACCACCAACGCAGCTCCAAGAAAACACAAGTACGTTCATTGGTGTTATAAAATGAGCATTTCTAGCATGTTGATTCTGCGTTCATCTACCATGTTTGCTGGTGCAGTGCAATGAGCTCGACATGAAGAAGTGCGTGATTGGGTCGCGCTCGTAGTCAAAGTACTGGCACTTAGTCGTCGCCATCATCTCCGTCTGGATCCTAATTGCCAACTTCTTCGTTGTCGAGGGTGCCAAGGCCATGGACGTGCACAGTATGCACGCATTGGCCATCCACGCCCACAGCCTGGATCCTGCAGCTCATTGGTCACGGCGTCTTCGATCGTCGCAAACCGGCACTCTTCGACAGCCTGGACCAGGCTTTGATCACCGCTCCGATGTTCATGTAGCTCGAGATTTTGTTCCCACTCGGTTACCGTCCGGAACTCTACACGCGCGTGATGAAGCAGGTCTGGATCAGAGCAAGACCTTCCAGGCTACAAAGACGCTGTTGTTGAGGCAACAAGACAGTGACTTTTGTGGCCTCATCAAAAAAAGAAAAATGTATTGTTTTCGATATTTTTATGCGAATTTTCTCGTTAGGAGGCTACGACGATCTCTGCCATCTCTGTGAGACTCTTGGCCAATACCCTCCGCTCCACTGACGAGACAGCTGA